CTCCCCATCTAAACTTTGAAGTTGTTTAGGTCTCCTGATTGCTGACTTACATATTTGAAAGAAAATATTTATCCTACTATTGCATCAGTTTTTAAGTTTGTCATACCATCTGTTAATTCAAACAATCGAGGAAGGTTTAGTAAACAAGCATAGACCAAACACTGAACTAAGATCATCTGTAGATAAGCAGAACGAACCTCAGTTTCTACAACAATATATGAAATATGATTCCAAGTGTCGCTTCGCTGTCGTGCAGAAATGGAAGATCTCTATTAATGCACAATTGCATCACTGAGTAATCATTGGCCAGATCCAGAAGGTATTTTGTTTTTTGTAGCCCTTGACACAGATTAGCTCCTCAAGCAGGATCTGGGCCCCATGGAATGCTAAGGGGAAGGGGGAACAGGATGTATAAACATTGATGTGAACAGAGAAAATAGATGGGGGAGTGTGTGCTACTGTCCAGAGTCTGGTCCAGACAAAAGAGTGAGGAGAGTGTGGGAAATCCAGTGTGGGAAGGAGGGCATCGTTCTTACTTTAAAGCAGACCGAAAGACGTACTTTCATCTGAGTTAAATCTAAGTCTGAGCCACAAATCTTTTTTCTTCATCAAATTAAAATAATACACAAATTGAGCTTTACTACTGTGGTCATTTAATCCTTGCTTGGGGTACTGAGGAATTAGGAGGTGGTTTAGAGATCGTGATGGGTGACAACCTCCTGTGTTTATGCTAAGAAGATAGATATAAAGGCTTTGAAGCCTTAATTGTAATGAATCAATATTCAAATGGTTGCATTCCTTTTCTCTCTTTATTGCCGTTTCCTAATTTCATCTGGCAAAGCCACAAAAGTAGCGAAATTCTGCCTCATTATTTATTCTAAAGGCAACATTTAAATTTGTTCGTGCTAAAATGAACCTTAACGTGAAGGGATTGAGAAAGAATGCAGGCTTCACATTCCAAAGAGCAGAATTAATCAAACATCCTTTTGAATTTTAATTGAAAAGATTGGCCAATTTACTGTGGTAACAATAGGTAGCTTTACTAAATTCTGACTATAGAATTTGAGTCTACAGCAAAATAAGGTATTACTTAATAAGTTGCATAGATTGGAATTAATAATTTTTGTCTTTATATTTCTTATAGATCAGAGTCAAGGAACATTTTCATAATGAACACCTCATCCAAAGAAAATATCCAGTTTTTCTGCAAAAATTCAGTGCAGCCTATTGGAAGTTCTTCCTTTAAGACAGAGTATCCCTCCTCAGAGGAAAAGCCATCACGTTGTGGTAAACTAAAGGTAGAGTAATGACCTAGGTAGTGTTGGGGCCCTTGCTTTTCAATTCAGATATTCCATAAAATGAAGTAAAGTGAGAATTATTTTTTTCTTTTCTAAAACATGAAAACTGCATGTAATTCACTAAAACCAGACCTGGCGATGGGAGCAGTCTCTGTCTGATCCTATGGTTCAAACTCTTCCTACCTCAGTACCTTTCCTAACCAGATTAGGGAGAGATAATAGAAACTAATACTGAGTTTCTATGGGCCAGGCATTGTACTAGGTACAAACATAACATGTAATCCATGAAATATCCATATCATTTTTATTTGATAAAAGAAAATTGTGGCTTTCATTGTTATATAATAGAGGACAGGGTTACTTTTAAAATCATGTTCCGTGTGACTCAAGACCCTCTTTCATTACACCAAATATTCACTGAACAAGTGCTTACATGCTGTTTTCTTGTGCATGGTAACCTGGCTATACATAGTTGTCATACCGCAGACTACATCCAGCAAACACATAAGCCAGATATTCAAACAATGTTTTCTACTGAGAAAGAATTTGACTATGAGCTTAACAAGTATGATGCTCAACATGAGAAATAACTCCAGTTTTTCAGGTTATCATGTTTCCCAATAGTATAAACACCATCACTGTAAAATAAATAGACTATAATAAGGTGTCAGGTGTCTGGCTTGTGGTTTTCATTTGATTTATTTTCTTATCTATCAATATGTCCTGCCTCTGTTTCACCATACACTGATCTTTCAAATCTAGACTCCATTTCTGTTCTTTTTTGTAGCCTTGTTTCCTTTCCATTTGAACAATTTCTTCCTTTTTCACAATAGCAATCATACACTTTGGTCCTTATTTACCATTAAAAAATTGATACAGGTAGCATAAAAGAGAAACAAAGATTTGTAAATAAAGAGGGGAAGAGGGTTGGGAGGAAGGGGAGGGGATTAAAAATAAAGCAAGATGTATCATATGTGGATAAAATTCCCTGTGATGAATGTGATTGTTGTGTATATCTAAATTGTGCCGATAAACTCAAATTAAAAAAGAAAGTCAATGCCCAAACTTTTGTGATGACATTGAAGAAAATAGTGTACAACAATAAATGAGCACTGAAGACTGAATTAATATATATTCAGGAGAGTTTGGCTGTAAATGTGAACAGGTTCCAGGAATATATTAACCAGTTTATTAAGCATATATTTTCTTTTCATGTGTGGATAGAGTGGTTTAATTAAAATATGCCCAGCTCTAAAAGCCCACCTGTATAAAGTAAAAATTCTAGGTAATAAAGAAACTTTTAAAATTGACAACATTTATTTTAATCATGAAATAATAACATACCTTAAAAACAATGATGCATTTCAAATTTGATGAAATAGAAGAGTCTCCCTCACCCACTCTGAAGTTGCTTCGTATTTTATTTTGCATTCTATATTATTGCTTATGTGACCAGGCCTCTGTTAATGGACATTTAGGTCATTCTGATTTTTCAGTAAAGTAAACAAACCCATAGCAAATGTTCTTATCCATTCTCCTTTTCATAAGTGTGTGCTTTTTCTCTTTAGGAAAATAAAACCAATATCTGATAAAAAAATAAATAAATCTATATTCATTTGCATGTTCTTTGGAGAAAAAGAAGAAAGGAAAAAAAAACTCAATGTACATTTTGAATGAAAATCAACATACATTTCACATTCTAAGCAGATATAAAATTCTCAGGAAACTCCATGAGTGGTTGAGTTAGAAGAAATCTTCTGATAGTACTTAATTAAATCTTCAGTGATAGCAGACTTTTTCTTCATTGCTTTGAGTTTATGTTTTGTCTGTGTGCTTAGTACATTTCCAAGTTGTGTCAGGCTGGAGTCAGACTAAGTGTGCCCTGTCATGTTTCCTAGGTGTTCTTAGGTGGCTTATCCTTCGTTTACTTTGCCAAAGCATTGACAGAAGGCTACCTGAAGAGCACCATCACTCAGATAGAGAGAAGATTTGATATTTCCTCCTCACTGGTAGGAGTAATTGATGGCAGTTTTGAAATTGGTAAGTACTGCGGATGCCTAACTTTACTTTTAAGCTCTAGGTTCTCTTAGAAATAGCTAAATAACATTGCTTTCCATTGTGCTGTCTCCTGGGATCTCATTTGTTAAATATTTGGATAAAATTTGCCATGACCATATGCTACAGTGAAGGCAATATTTTCTTTCAGAATAACTGACAATAAATATTCTGCCCTGGTATCACTATTTTATGAATCATCCAACTCAGAGTTTCCAAAGGGATTGAGAATCTTCTAGAAAGACTGAGATATCTCCTACCATTATCACCTAATGTATATACTAAAGGAAACCCAATTTCTCCCTGAAGAAGTTTTCAGAATAAAAGCTTTATCTAAAAATGACAACACTAAAAAACAAAAATCTTTTTTTTTTTTTGAAGGGTCTACAGGGTGTTCAGGGTCTCACTATATGGACTGAACTCATACTGATCTGCCTGTTTACAGCCTCCCAAGTGCTGGGATTACAGATGCGCATCACCACTCCCAGTCTCAATTGCTCTCTTAGCGTGCCAGCATGGAGGTGGGGCCAGCATGGCAGGCCTGGGGATTGAACCCCAGGCCCCTGTGCTTGCCTGCAGGTGCTTTAATCTGCTGAGTTATTTGGCTGACCCTAGAAACTAAAAACTTTTCCTTATCATGATTTCCTAATTTTTTCCAGAAATACTTTATTTCAAATATTTTTCTACGTGCTTTTAACAATTTTAAATGTTAAATTTCTGTTTTTCAGAAGAACAATACCTTAGTAATCGTATTTTCAGTTATAACAATGTGACAAAGTATCTTTATAAGAGACCAAAAGATCATTGGAGTCTTCTGTTCAATTTTAGAAATTTAGAGAATTTGAAGTAGCCATCCACAAATTTATTACAATGAGTTAATAGGTTAATCTATGAAAGAAGTTTTCTGTCCAGTGACCTAGAAGGAAAAGGAAAGGAAAAGGAAAGGAAAAGGAAAGGAAGTTTACTTAAAACAACACAGAAATCTTTCCTTAGCAATTGTTTGTGGACTGCTTCTACAACCTAAAAAGATAAAGTTATTTTAATCATTGTTGTGGATACTTTCAAAGAGTATAATCTGCTTCCTGAGTTTATAAATGGAGAAGCTTTAATTTTCTGTCAAAATAAACAAAACAGTGTTTTCTGTGGTCCTTAATGCCTTTTGTAATTCAAATATATATTATAGTAAAATTTCACTATTTCAATTTCAGTTTTTACCATGAACTTTCAGAAGATTGAAGGAATATTTCTCAACTCCTGAACAATTTTGTTTTTTAGTTTGTAGTGCTGATCTTTGTTGCTGCGCTGAATAGTGCAGAAAGAATGGAAAACACAAATAAGTACTATTTTTACCTTAGGCCTTTTGCTGCCCAAATCCATCTTTCATCATTCTACAAGAAGAACATTTCTGTGTTCAGTGCCAATTAAACCTTCATGCTCGTATATACGACCAGGCCATCTTGTTAAAGTGCAGGTGTTGGTTATGAAGGGTGGAGAGACTGTCTGTGTTTTCTTATGCTCCAGCTATACTTTTACAACTCTGGAATACCCTAGATTTGCTGCACTGTTTGTTTGTTTGTTTATGGCACTGAATTTTGAGCCCAGTACCTTGCATTGAGCTATATACCCCAACCTTTTCTTGAGACAAGATCGTGCTAGATTGTCCAGGCTGGGTTTAAACCCCAGTATGGAATTTCAGCCTCCCAGAGTTCTGAGACTACAAGGATGTACCACCACTGGCCAGATGTTTTCATTTGCATTTGCATATACTTGACTATTCTGTTTGTGAATGCATTTTGCTTAGGATCTTTATTTCATTGCTCAGCTTGTGTTCTAATTGCTATTCCTTACATGGCCTTTGTCCAGATTTACTTTGAAAGATTTTTTGAGATGTCTTGTATAGCTTTCTTTCTTTTCTACTATGTGAAAATTTGAATTTGTGTCCAATGAAGTAAAGGAAGAACTCATTAAAGTTTGATGAGACATGCTCAACCTGTTCTTTTTTAGAGGCTAGGAAAGGTAGGTGTGTGTAAGCTTTTTGATAGTCATATAATTTTTTTAAAGATTAGTAATTGCCATTTATTTTCCAAGTGTATTTCCTTAGAATTCAGAAAGGATATTAAGTAAAAGAAGCCAATGTTCCTATAGGTATCAGAGTCTCTGAAGTGGTATCATATGCCAGCAAGTAGCTCAGTGGACTAAGCACCTGCTTAGGCAAGTGCAGGGACCAGGGCTTGATCCCCAGCACCACGAGTCTTGCTGGCCCCAGCCCTAGGCACTCTGCACCAGCCACTAAGTCCAAGCATGGTGGTGTATGCCTGTAATCCCAGCGCTTGGGAGGCTGAAAACAGGAGGATCACTATGAAAACAGGAGAATCACTACAAGTCCAAGCTGTGAAGTGAGATCTTGTACCAAATACATTAAAAAAAAATTAAAAAGTGAGGTGGTATCATCTTGTACTTGGTTGGCATAACCATGAATGTAGCACAGAAACAGCCTGTATGAAGTGTTGGTGGCTGGCAGGTAAGGATGACAGAGTATGGCCTATAAACAGAAAGTCAGCATTCATTTTACTTTGAATTATTTCCTGTGGCATGTTACCAAACATATAGACATAATTATCAGCGTAATGCGATTTCAAGTGTCTCCTACTATATGTTCAAATATCCAGTTGGAAAGCTCATACTTCATTTTTTTTGTTGACAATATGAACATGGGGAAGAATTTAGTTTGTCCTGAAGCCAGAAAGCCTAGAGCCACTGTACAGACTGCTTCTCTCACCATCATTATTACTGTCCTCAAGGCTATAAAATTTACTGCTTGCTTTCTAATTGACTAGAGCTGGCAGTGAGACAAACAGTAAATTAGACAATTGCTTACAGATGGAAGGAAATGCACTCTTGTTGCAAAATTGGAAACATCAAGGACTTCAAAGTGAGGTCACTTGTCAGCTACCCCTATCAGCTGCTGGGGAAGTGTTTCTCGTTCTTCATCCCTGCAGTGCTTCAAAATTAAGCAGCTCAAATGAAAATAGCTAAACTGTTAAAGCCCCTTAAAGCATAAGACCCAAAACAATGTTTATGAAAGCCGGCCACCAGTCGCCGGAACCGTCCTCATCAATACACTTGAGCTCCTATTAGAAATGCAGATTTGTTGGCTTCCCTCGGTTCCCCAGAATGAGAAGCCCTCTGGATTTGCCAAGTATTTGCAATTTTACCAAGTTTCCACTTCCCCCACAGTCCCCTTTCAATACTTCTTGTCCAGAACAAAGCATGAGAAATTTTCCTGAAAGCATGTTCATCATCACTTTTCCTGACTAAAAACTAATTCACACGTACTTCACTAGTGACATTTTAGGAAGTGTAATTCCAACCTTTAGAAATCTCTTATTTTTATTGTTTTCTTAAAAGAAAATAGAAGGGCATAGTTTATTAAAAGTTTGTATCATTGTTATTGGTATACATTTTAGAATTGATGTAAACCTGAAATCATTTACATAAAGTAATTTTAATTTCTATTTTGAGACTTCTGTTTTTATAAAAAGTATATAAACAAATTATACATTATCATTTACAAGTATACGATTTTCATAATATGATTTCTTATAAAGGGAGGTACAGTTTTATTTCTTTTGCTTTTTCTATAGTGGATATAAACTAGAGAGGTAAAATACACTAAGTATTTTAAGAGCAATTGGAACAATAATAGACAATAGAAAATTTAAATAAACAAACTAAGTGCTGAAGTTGGATTGAAAAATCACTGAGGAAAATTTAAGAGTAACTCAAGGAAAGCTTTTATAATTTAATTTACTGATAAAATACTTTATAAGGATAAGTAACTGGGTTGAATGAAACAAATAGATGAGAGAACAATGAAAATATTTTGATAAAAGGATGAGATGATTGAGGTGATGAATAAGAAGACTATTTCAGGGGCTGGGGAGATAGCTCAGTAGAATAAGTGCTTGCCTGGCAAGCACAAGGGCCTGAGTTCAATTCTTGGTTCTGAAAAAAAAGAAGGAGAAAAAGAAGAAGAACACTATTTTAACCGCCATCACAGAAAAAACCACAGCAAGGTAAGTGGTAGGGAGCTGGTGAGGAGGTTCAGTCAAACCAAAAACATGGTTGACTGCTTTCTACTTTCATGTAGTTGTATCTCTGAATATATTCTAAGTTGTTTGACTTACAAATCTTTTATTCTTTCCACCCAAGGGAATCTCTTGGTTATAACATTTGTTAGCTACTTTGGAGCCAAACTCCACAGGCCCAAAATAATTGGAGCGGGGTGCCTTCTCATGGGAACGGGGACGCTGCTCATCGCTGCACCTCAGTTCTTCATGGAGCAGTAAGTCCACGGCAGCCATTTTGTGCCACCCTTGTCCAGTAACTTCCTTTCTTCCTTACACTGTTGCGACTGATTATTTAAATTGATGTCTAATACATGATGATTTTAGACCTTATTTTTACTTATTATGTCTTTGGAGAAAGTTTCAGAGCAGTTTCATAATACTAATAACAATAATCTGTATGAAATATTGACATACTGCATACTACTGTGTATTGATGACATGATTCAAGGGAAAATTTTACGGATGTATTTAGAGTCAAGTACTTTCATTTAGGTGTAGAGGCATTATGTATAAATAAAAAGAAATTAACATAGCATAGCAAATGTCCAAGGGTCATGAGTGAATGTTAAAGATAATAAATAGTGGATCATATTACTTAATATTTATAGCCTTCAATTTCTAAATATTAAAAAATAATACCTAGGTGATAATATTATTGACATCTTGGTAAAATGCTCATCAAAACTCTTCATATAATGAGTAGCTTTGTTATTATTTTTGTGTTATTATTATTTTTTTATTATTATCATTTTTTTTTTTTTGCAGAACCGGGGATTGAACTCAGATCCTTGTGTTTCCCAGTCAAGAGCTTATCCTACTGAACCATCTCCCTGCCCCCCCTTTTTTTTTTTTGAGTCTTGTTGTGTAGGTCAGACTGTCCTTGAAATCACTATGAAGCCTAGGCTGGCCTTGAACTCCCCGCAAATTCTCCTGTCTCTGCCTCCCATGTATTACTGAGATTCTAGGCCTGCATCACCGCACCTAGCCTTGCCACCTAGTTTTAAGCTATAATGAGCAATGCTTTTTCCATAAAGGTGTTGTTTGTAAGTTGAAGGGTATGCTTATTCATTATGTGATGCCTGCCACTTGCAAGGTACTCTCCCAGCTAGTGGAGCTGTTCAGTGAGGCAACAAACTGCAAAGAACCATACACAGTACTTTTTCCCATGAAGTTTGTTCTCTATCAAGGTTAAATATCAGAACCTTTCAACTTTTTGCAATGTAATTCACTAGAGGGCTACTCATCCATACTGTCATTTTTTGACTGCCATTCTCCAAAAGACTATTACACTCTGCCAGCAGAAATATCTTTGATGTCTAACAAAATCTACTAACCATGGATATAATCATTAACAGCCTGCTGCCAATAGGCTGTTAGACTTCTTGAGTCTTAGCTCATCTAATGCATGAACTTAACAAATCTATGGGAGAAAAAAAATCTGTGCTCTCATGGATATTACAAGGAAGAGATAGAAAGTAACTAACGATATAGACTGTGTGGTCATGGTAAGGACTAAAGAGAAAAACACCCACTGAAGATCTGGAGTGGGTGTATGTGTGGGAAAATGCATCTTAGAATTTTAATGAGATGGTAACGTTTGAGGAAGACTTGAAAAGAAGTCCATGTAGATATCTGGGAGATGACTTCTGGTCTCCATGAAGGTGGAGTGCAATGTGATGTAGCAGGAAAGAGTCTGGAGTGTGTGGGAGCTGAGAAAGTCTGAAAGACTCAAGGAGGATCCAAGGAGCAAGAGAGAAAGCTGAAGAGATGACAAGCAGAAGAGATGGAACTGAGGACTCAGTGGGAAAGGGAAGGTGTGTTGATGAACATCTGGGTGATGTGAGGCTCTCATGGTGATGCAGTAATTCCTGGCTTAGGGCTGAGGCTTTCCACTGCGGCTAGTTTTCAGATCATTTTTGAGGAGTATCCTGGGAACAACCACAAGGAGCTCATGTAGGATTTCCTCCTAAATTATGGCAACTGCTATAGAGTCAGGAACAAAGTGAGATTATCTGTATTGTAATATTTTAAAAATTGACTCTGAGGGGAAGCAAGCTTGGAAAAATGAATGGAGGAGTCTACTGTGGAATTTCATGTGTTAAGGTCAGGATTACACTCATTAGAATTTGAATACAAGTCAGAACTGAAGCCCCCAAGTTAGTCCCTCACTCAGTCATATATTTGTCTCTATACAATGTCTATAGCTCTCATTTTATAGCTAAAATAGCAAACCTAAAGAGGTTAGTTTTTCTGGGGCAGGCATTACAGAAAGTGATACTTATATAAGATTCTCTTTATTCAAAACCTAAGTAATTATGTTTGCCACCCTTACCTTTTGACAGAAGTAATTGAGAAAGTTCAAATAATTACACAATTTAAAAGTACTGCATAATCACTATCAATGCTCACTTTAACTGTCTCTGTAATTTATGAAATTCTATTTACTGTGATTTCAATACTAAAGGTCTCTTGTACAGTTGGGAATTGCAGCCAGTTAACCTCAGTCACTAACTCTTAACGTATTTTGGTCAGTGATCCATATGATAAAATGTTGAAAACTGTAACTTTCTTTCTTTAAAGATTTGCATGAAAACATGCCTGCAAAATGTTTTGACTTTTTCAGTGGGGTTCATAGACCCATTGAAGAGTAGGTTTCCCAAAATAGATATTAAGCACCCACTTAGCAACTAGAATATTTTAACTCAGTATAGGTTTTCCTTTCTATAATGAAATAAGAAGGTTATTACCACTAATATTTCAATAACATTACCATGATTACTAGCCTCTAGTAATAGTCACCAGCCTCTAGTGACATAGTGCCTGCACAATATAACAATCAAGATCATTTATGTTGTGTTTTTTTTACTAGGTACTTCTTTCCTTAAGGGTAAAAATGGATCAGAGATCTTGGCTCATAGAGAATTGACAAAATAGCTGATGCTCAAAATTAAGGGAAGGAAGATTTATTTAGCCCAAAGTTTGTAGAGATTTCATCCTATAATCAATTGGCTCCAAGGCCAGGTGGCACATGGCAGAAGGGCCATAGTTCATGGCTGTAGAAGACAACAAAAGCAGCAAAAGCAAAAAAGGGAGAGAAAGCCTCCTTTCCTTTTACTGTAAGCAGATGACCTGCCCTTGGGTGGAAGTAGCACTCATACCATCTCTATGCCTTCCTTTTGCATAGGCTCATGATGTTTACAAACTGAGGCCTCTGGCCTCAACTGAGTCCCGTAGTTAAACATCCAACCATCTTAAATCTGAAACTGACACTGTGTATCACCATTCATTACAAGCTACCCCTTGTCAACTGGGCAGTAGAAACATTTCTTTAAACCTGTTTCCATTTAAAACCATATGCTTATTCTTATCATTTCACAACTTGAACATTATAACACAGTTTTAATAATTCTTAAGAACCAGAATTAGGTCTATCAACATTACATTACATTTGAATCATAACATTCTGACCCTGGGCCCCTAAAGGCTCATGTACTCCCTTTATGCAAAAGGCATTTATTTAGTCCATCTCTAAGAGTTGCTAAAGTCCTAACTTTTTCAGCATTACCAAGAAGATCCAAGTTTCCTCTGAGATATAAGCAAACTTTTGGCTTGCAAACCTCAGTACAAATGAAAACAATGTACTTCCAACATTTAATGGTACAAGTTAAACATTTTCATTCTGAAAGTTACAAACAGGAGTTGTAAAGGATGGGGACCAAAGCAAGTCCAAAATCCAGGAGGGCAAACATTGAGTACAGTACTGTAGTTCCAAATTCAGCATCTAAAGAAATTTGTGGAAA